TTGGATGCAGCCCAGGACACGGTTGGCTTTCTGGGCTGCCAGCGCACGGTGCCGGCTCATGTTGAGTTTCTCATCAACTCGCACTCCCAGGTCCTTCTCTTCCGTGCTGCTCTCAATCCATTCTCCACCCATCCTGTACCTGTGCTTGGGATTGGCCCGACCCACGTGCAGGACCCTGGGACATAACCCCCCATCCCTTCCCAGCAATATCCAGGGGATCACACACTGCAAAAACTGTCCCCGGTATTTCCACCTTCCCAGACATCCAGACCCAGCCCAGGGCGCCCGCAGGCTTCTTCCCCTGCCCACGAGCTGGGGCTGGGCAGCTCCCTCGGGACGGGATGCCGCGGCTCTCCCCTGCCTGCTCAGCCCAGCACGGCTCCGTGTCCCGCATCAAACAGATTTTTCAGATTTTCTTTGCCGCTCCCTGTTTTCCACTCCCGAGCTGTAACAAGGGCTCCAAAATGTTCTTTCCATTGGGAACCAGCAGTGGAATAAACTGATCCTAATAAATGCCTGACAAATTATTTTTCCAGCAAGCGGATGCCTGGCTGGGTTTATACAGCTCTAGCCTGCAGTCACCTCTCCTGGAGTCAGGGTAATTTTTTATTTCCCCGGAAAACCACCGCTGCCACTTCTGCCACGGGGCAGCGGGTGAGAAGCAGCGTCTGGCTCCGCTTTTCTCCTTCCAGTGGCGCTGCTGCTCCCGTACACAGCAAACAGCTGCTGTTTAGGAAGCAAAGGCCACAGTTTGCTGCTCGCTTGGAAACAGCCGCACCAATGCAATTGTTAAATTTTTTTCTGCCGCTTTTAAATGCTCCCTTGGGTGCCCACCGGCTCGCCAGAGCATGAAGCAGCAACCCAGGGAGAAGTGACTTGCCACTGGCCCCACAGCTCCTCTGGGTCCCCAGCACTGGAGACCACTGGGGGAATGAACACTCAATTGAATTTCTTTGCCCCTTTTCTCGTCCATCATCTTCTTCAGCAGCCCTTTGGCAGCCCCTGCTTTCAGGTCCAATGCTCTTTTTTTGCTCCTCTGCACCCTCTTTATTCCAGGGTGCTTCCAGAGTTTATTTGCCTCCTGTGATATTTTATTTGCGGCTAATCCTGCCCCGTTTGATAAATCACAAAACACAAACCCAAGTGTTTATTGCCCAGCCCAGGGCTTTAACTGGGCTCTTCCTTGCTCTTTTCAGAAGTTTTGCAAGAGATGTATAGGAGAAGCTAAGTGTTATTTGACTGCGTAAGCTGGTGTAAGGCTTTGGGGGACTGTTTTCTCCCTGCAGCCTGAAGGACGAACAGCCAGTGTGGTGCGGGCAGTACGACGGGCTGGTGGAGCTGGCCACCATCTGTGCCCTCTGCAACGACTCCTCGCTGGACTACAACGAGGTGCGGGGGAGGCACCCGGGCCGGGGCGGTGTCAGGGCCCAGCAATACTCTTCCCTGAGCTTTGGGCCACGTCGGGGCAAAGCCAGTGGAGGTTTGGCCCTCGGGATCCCCTTCCTTAGCTTCAACTCATCCCAAGGCAATGGGAGCCCTGGGATGGTGCAGCGAGTGACAGCATCCCTAGTTGGGGCAACAGGAAGAGGATGAGCTCTAAAGTTTAAGCTCCATGTTTTTTTTTCTGCCTTCTAGTCCAAAAAAGTCTACGAGAAGGTGGGGGAAGCCACTGAAACAGCCCTGACGTGCCTGGTGGAGAAGATGAATGTCTTCAACACTGACACCAGCAAACTCTCCAAGGTGGAGCGAGCCAACGCCTGCAATTCGGTGAGCAGGGGGCCTGGTGAGCTCCGGGGACGGGGGGGTAGAAGGGAGGGGAGGGCTTTGGGACAGGGGATGGGAGGGAGGGGAAGGCTTTGGGACAACTGTTATTTCAGCAATAATCACTCACGATGCTCTAAGGGACTGACCTGCCATAAGGATGCAATTTCCTGGCTCGCAGGGGGCTGATGTTTGGAGCAGACAGTGCAATGGCCCTGGGGGGGCTGATGCCACAGGCCTTGGGACTAACCTGGGTCCAGGTGGAGCTTCGGGTGATCCCTGAGGGTCAAACTCAGCCCAGTCCCTGCTCAGCTGGGAAAGACCCTCCTGGTGATGGCCTGAGCCTCCGACTGCAGATAAGGAGGTTTGGAGTCGTGGAGCTCCACAGCAAATCTTTAGGTGCCCGGTTTGCACAGAGCAGCTATCCTCCATAGCGTGGACCAAACCCTGTACCCTGGAGCCATGCCTGCCTGAACAAGGCTGGCTCTTTGGAAACATCTATTTTTGACATGAAAATATCCTATGCTGGCTGTTCCCCTCCTGCTCCAGCTCTCCAGTATCTCCCTGTCCTCCTGGTGAAAACACGCTTTATTCCATGTCTGGATTTACTTGGCTTTGGTATAGTGCTGTTAGATCTTATAAAGCCTTTGCTTGCTCAAAGGAAGGGCTCTCTGTTTTGGCATTTCTTCCCCAGATAGGTCTGAGCAGATCGTAATAAATCCCCTGACTCCTTTCTGATAAGGGTGATGGAATTTCCCAGCCATACATCGGTCTGGCAGCTCCGTTACGGTGCCCATCGCTTCCCTTCCACTCAGGAGCCAGGCTGGATTCAGTCACTGGTGCTTCTCTCCCTACTCTTGTGTTTGGGCAGGGACAAAAAAAACCCTTCCTTGGGCTTTCCTGGCAGCGTTTCTTCACTGCTGCTTGATTTTGCTCCCAGTGGTTCTGGGCGTTGACATCTCCAGTGGGATCTGGGGGTTTCCGCAGCGGCTGGTGTTCCCGCTGTCCCTGCAGCTGCACTGGGCACGCAGTGCCCACATTTTTTTTTCACAAAGCCTCCCGCCTGTGTGTGGTCCCTGCACTTGTACCCCGTGCTGCGTTCGGCCTTCCAGAGCTGCTCGGTGTTCGCCTGGCACATCCCCAGGCAGTGGCCGCGTTTTTCGTGGTCAAACCCCCTTTGCACATCTCTCCAGCTCCCGCTTGCTGCTCTGGAGCAGTAGGAGCATCCTTTTACCTTTGAACTTGTGAGGTTTTACCCCGAAAGGAGTTTTCTTTTCCTTTGCCCCCTTCCCTGATTTATTCAGATTTAAGTTGCTGTAGAAGCCCTGTGCGAAACGCAGCTCGTGTCCCCATCGCAAGCACCACCCTCCTGGCAACAAAAAATAATAACCATATAGGCAGGTGAGCCATGCAGAGCAAGGCTGGCACCAACATCCCTGCTGCCCTCTCCCTGAGATAATATGGATCAGCCCCAGGTGCCTGCTCATTAAATGGGCGTTTTGGGACAAGATGTGTCCCCCCAGAGCCAGGCTCAGCCGTCGCAATAATAGAATCATAGAACAGTTTGTGTTGGGAGGGACCTCAAAGGTCATCTAGTTCCAACCTCCCTGCCATGGGCAGGGACACCCTCCACTACACCAGGTTGCCCAAAGCCTCATCCAACCTGGCCTTGAACACTTCCAGGGATGGGGCAGCCACAGCTCCTCTGGGCAACCTGTGCCAGTGTCTCACCACCCTCAATGTAAAAAATTTCTTCCTTATATCTAGTCTAAATCTCCCCTCTTTCAGTTTAAATCCATTGCCCCGTGTCCTGTCACTACATGCCCTTGTCAAAAGTCCCTCTCCATCTTTTTGTAGCCCCTTTAGGTACTGGAAGGCTGCTATAAGATCACCCTGGAGCCTTCTCTTCCCCAGGCTGAATTCAGGGTGGGATGTGATTCCCCTTCCTGCAGAAGGGAAGAGTCTCCCCCACCTCTCTGGCAAACACAGCTTTATCTTAAGATGCAGCAGCTGTTTGGCTCCCAGTGTGGGATCGATGAAATAAAGGTCTGGCACGTGCTGTGGGCTGGGCAGCAACGGTGTCATCAGAGGGGTTCAAATCCTCCTGAAAAACTGCGCAGGGAAAGCTCCTTCTGCTTCTTGCATTGTTCCATCCCTCCTCCCTCTTCTCCTCCCATCACTGGTGCTGTGCAGGCTCCGCAGGGTTGTTAGCCAAGGTGGAGAGCACTGGCTGCTGTGTCCCTGTTGTGTCCTGGCTCAGCCCCACGCTGTCCCCGCAGGTGATCAAGCAGCTGATGAGGAAAGATTGCACCCTCGAGTTCTCCCGCGACCGCAAGTCCATGTCGGTGTACTGCACGCCCACCGGCCCTGGCCACAACTCTGCCGGCAGCAAGATGTTTGTCAAGGTAAGGGGAGAAGGTCCTCAGCACCCTTCAGGGTCCTCCTTCTGCAGGATTTGGCCCTTACTGCAGCAGGCAGCAATGCTTTGCAGTTTGTCACCTCCTGTAGCTGTCCAGGGGTCCGGGAGCCGGCAGGTGGAGTCGTGTGGTCAGGGAGGAGGGCAGACTTTGCAGGACTGATAGGGAAAAAAGGAGGTAAAATTATTTAGAGGGAGGAAAAGGTGCTGAGGGTGCTGGGGCCAGGGGAGAACAGCCCCTGAGCCAACTTGGGCACTTGCCTTTATTAAGCGCTTGGACCCTCTGAGCTCCAGTAATGCCCAAAGGGTCGTGTCCAGCTTTCCACTGTAACCAGAAATAATAAGTTTTAAAGGGCATTTTCTTCCCAAGAGAAGAGATGTGGCAGGAATTTCACACCACTGGCTCTGAGAAGTTTTGTATATTGTTGTTTCCACTGGGAGATCTGGGTGGGTGAACGCTGTCCTCCAGGTCGGGTCGGGACCCTCCGGAGCCATTGCAGCTGTGGTCCTGCTGGTTTCTGGGTGAGCTTTTTTAAGAGGAGCAGTAGAAGAATTGTAAGTTTTTTATTAAAAAGCAACGTCGAGAATCCTTTGTATGGTCAGAAGGGATGGGGCGAGGTGCTGCAGTGCTGAAGGACGAATTGCAAAGGCATCACGAGCATCCACTGAGCATCCCGCATTTTTACAGCCCCAGTCTCCTCCAGGTCTGAGCTGGGATTTGTGGTGCAGGAGTATCTCAGGCAGATGTGTAGGTTTGGCAGGAGCCAGACAGTCGCCCCACAGAGCAAATCCTACTGCCTGGACTTGACCTGGCTTCGTCCTTGCCAGCCGCAGTCCCCAAGCGCTCAGTCAGAAGCTGCCATCTAGTGCACTCAGCCACTGTGTCGGGATGGGTGTGGTAGAGTTTTGGGGAGGTTTCCTCCTCCTTGGCCCAAACTTGGTGCCATCCCTCCCTCCAGCACTTCCTTTGGTGCTGGCGAGGGTTGCTCGTCCTCCGGGTTAGTTCCAGCCCCTAAGCCCTCCCCTCCTCCCCAGGGCGCCCCAGAAAGCGTGATCGAGCGCTGCACCCATGTCCGTGTGGGCACTGCCAAGGTCCCGCTGACGGCCCCGGTGCGAGAGAAGATCCTGGGCAGGATCCGGGACTGGGGCATGGGCATCGACACGCTGCGCTGCCTGGCGCTGGCCACCCACGATGCGCCCGTCCGCAGGGAGACCATGGAGCTGCATGACTCTGCTGCCTTTGTCCACTATGAGGTACGGCTCCGGGGGCTTTCTCCAGGAGTTTTTTCCTTATTCTCAAAGTTTTCCCACCCACTTCCAGCTGCCCCAGCAATATTTTCTCCCAGGTTTCTCTGTGGGCGGTGCAATGGCTCAGCTCCTCCTCTGCAAACCCTGGTGCAGAGCTGCATGCAGCGGGGCTGGTCCCACGGCCAACAGCTCCGTCCCACTGGGTGTCCACCCCCGTGGGGTGACCCCTGAAAGGGGCTGGGGACCACTGAGAGGGACGGGGAGGAGGGGAGAGAAGCAAAAAGGTGTGAGGAGCAGCAGAGGGGATGGGAGCGCCCCATTGCATTGGGGCTACAGGGTGCGTCCATGGAGCTGTTGGTAGGAAACCTCCTGAAAGCTTCCTGCCAGGGGAAATCCTCGTGCCCGGGGTGTTTTCACAGCAGGGAGGGAAGTGGCTGCATCCCTGGGGGTTAATGGGGGTCTGGGGCTGTTGTCGTCCCCCTCCAGAACAACCTGACCTTCGTGGGCTGCGTGGGGATGCTGGATCCTCCCCGCAAGGAGGTCACCTCCTCCATCGAGATGTGCCGCAAGGCCGGCATCCGCGTCATCATGATCACTGGTGACAACAAAGGCACGGCAGTGGCCATCT